ATAAATGAAGTCTAAATTTTATAAAATGAAATGTAAATTATGAATAGTTTGGAAGTCCTTAAAGTGTAAGTTGATGAATAATAACGTGAATAAGTAAAAATAACAATATATATTATCTTTGTTTAATTATGTAATATTCAATGGTAAAATTGTGCCCTATTTTCTCACATAATATCATCCTTTTGTACATGACAATATCTAGGTCATACATCTAATCATAAATGTGTTCAAAGGTATACTCGTTAATCTCTTGCATATGACAATATCTAGGTCATACAACTAATCATAAAACACTTCACTAAAGTAACTAATAACTCTTTACTTATACAAAACTAAATAATTAATCAAAGTTATAACATTAGGGAGCTGTTACCTCTTGTACCACATACGCATTTACATTCATGTAACACACATGTAAGCATAAAATAGTTGTAAAAAAATAATTTATATTTAAAAAAAAATTAAAATAAAATAAAGTTAAATAAATATAAAAAATTTATGTGAATTAAAGTATCATTTCTATTTTTAAAATGTCTATTTTACCCTTATGAATTTATAATATATTATTATTTTATTTTTCCTTCTTTCTTCTCTGCCTCTATCTCCTTGACATTTCTTCGTCCTGAGTCTTTGATGATCATTAAAGCTTTATAAGCTTTGCAACAAGGTTCTTCACTTATTTAATAGAGGTATGAGTACTTATTTAGTAGAAGTATGAATTTTGGTTTGGTTTTGCTTGTTGTCGTCGGTGGGGTGAGTTTAGGAAAATTTATTTATGATTCTTTTAACTTTTCGAATCCGGAATATATTACTGAATCCGAGAAAGATATTTCGAAGTGATAAATATGGAAAAGGTTTGTCTCTGTTGTATTTTGAGACTACAAAGAGACCAGGTCACGGTTTGAAATTCAAGCGTGAGTTTAAGTCCCACCTTGGATAGAAATGAGAAAGTAAAGCACTATATAAAGATGAAAGACTCTTTAGCTAATTGTCTTAAGGTTTTGGGTAAAGAGTGGTGTCAATCCCTTATATGGTTGGACTAAGATCTCATTGGTGTTTGTGTTTTCCAATGAACCTCCTCCTTGATATAACACCCTCACCAACCTGCATGGCAAACATGATCCACGCGCATGAGAGCAATCCTGCTATTTCTAGTGTGTCTTTTCCTTCCATTCTTCCTTCCCAATGCTGCAACTTTCTCTCCTTACCTTGCTCGTTCTTATTCCATCTTTTCTACTCTCTTCTCCACCACCTACATGCCCATCTCCTGTTTACCATCAAAGTCATGCAACATCAGATTCACAACCATTGAATCATCATATGCAACATTGTTTTTCGAACTGTTTAAGAGTTAAACTTACGTGAACGTGATTGATTTATGTGTCTTGCTGGGATGATAACTGGAACACAGAGTAACAAAAGAATGAAAAATGCAGCAGCAGCGTAGAGAGAAGTCCTCCTCATTGTTGTTGTGTGGGAATTTCTGAGAAGTTATGATGAGTTTTGAGGTGCATTTTGTATAATATAATTAAAATATAAAAGAGGGTGTATGTAGAAATTGAAGCGGTTCACAGGATTGTGCAAGAAGAGGTCACATGAAAGAGGGTGCAATGCAAATGCAAGAAGGTGTTGCAGGGTGGCAGAAATGCAGCCTCAACTTTGCTCTTCTATTTTCTTCCTATTACTGCATTTTACCATTTAATATTGATGTTCATGTGCATTTCGGCTAATAAATTTAGTACCCTAAGCTCTTATGTGACTGCCATCGATGCCTCTCTTCGCTACCATTGATGGATTTAGATTTAGAGCCCAAAAACAAAATGGTTGACATTTTGGAACATATATACTAGTCGTATTTTATATCAATTTTTATAAAATTTATTTATTTTTAGTCACATCACTAGTAAAAATAGAGTTTTTAAATCGCGTATTATGTCTCGGTTTTTGNGTAGATTAGATTACTCATAGTAAATTTAACCAAATTACATTCTCAATTAAATATTACTATGCCTAATCATATCTATTCTTTTACCTTTTATATCAAGTAAAAAGCTAATTTGCTAAAGTACATTCTTGATTAATTCTTGTTAAAGTTTTTACTACTAATCAAAAAGTACATTCTCAATTAATGGCAAAAACTCATTCAATCATATGAAAGTTTCTGACTTTAATCAAAGTAGATTCTCAATTAAAATTAAAAACTCTTGGGCTCATAAGATTGATATGTTATGTATATTTGAGACCATGCTAAATTGCTATGATGTAAAAATCATTACTTTTGCTTGATTAAGAAGCTAAAGACATAGATAAAAATAAATCACAACAAGAATCAAAAGAACAAACAAATTTATTCATCTAACCTCAGAATCCAGTTAAGAAATTACAGTACAATCAACCCCAGAGGCTTAGCACTCCATGGAATGATGAAATAACATGAAAATAGAAGAATAAAGGGTGGAGAACATGAGAGAAGAGCGAGAGGACGAAATTTGAACCCCCAAAGGGTTCCTAAGCTCTCCTAAAGTGTTTCCCTAGGTCTCTTTATATAGAAATTGGATTAGGCTTTGCTTCAGGCTTTTCTGTTCTTGTAATCTTCTTTATGATAATGCAATCTTCTCCAATTATCTTCTAAATAATCCATAATATTCAAAATATATTTGATTGTTGTGTAGATCTAAATATATTTGAGAATATATTTGCTAGACTAAAAAAGATTTGGCAAATATTATATTTTTTTAACAAGTGGACTTTAAGCTTAACTTAACCCCATAAAACCGACTTGTAAGGTGAGGTTTGCACCCACTTATATATTATATATTTGTTTTATCTTATCTCTAGTCGATGTGGGACTTCCAACACACCCTCTCACGCTGAGGTATAAACACCATCTCGAGCGTGAGACTAGACATTAATGGGTGGTCCGAGAGCAGTCCGATAGCGGGTGGAACAACATGCCCAACAAACAACAAATATCGCTAGGATAGGCTCTAACCATAGCTCTGATACCATGTTAAGAAGTGGACTTTAAGCCTAACTCAACCCCACAAAACCAGCTTGTAAGGTGAGATTTACACCTACTTATATATATATTATAAATTGGTCTTATCTCTAGTCAATGTGGACTTCCAACACTTTTGATATTTATTGATATAGTTAAATAAGGTAACTATTTAACAATATCAAATAAAATATCTTAAGATATGTTTTTTCCACATTATCTTTAATCATAAACATTTATCAATTATCAAAGCCCTTTTGGTAGAGAAAACCGCAAGACCCAATTTTTGTTGCCTGTTCCCTCTCTTAGCTTAGCCAAATTTCTTCACTTTTTCATACTATACTTGGATTGACTTCTTGTGGTCTTGATTATTTGTTATTCTTGGATTTATCTTTAAGGTGTCATGAAACTTTAACCAATTTATTTCCACACCTCAATGAGCTCAACTTAGCTGCAGCTGCACTAACACACGTCAAAATATCTAAAAAAACATTTATGCAACCGAAAAACTATTTTAAACATTTTTTTGTATCTCATGCTAAATAAACCCAATTATAACAAATCCTAATTAAAATGTTCTATTAAAGTATAAAAACCAATTAAGAATCCAGTATTAAAGGTTAAATGAGGGCATAAATATGCACTCATCACTAACGGATGGTGACCTACAATGCCTGACAGCGATAGACTATAGGGACTAGATTGAACCACATAGAAACAGACTCTCCCTCGCGGTGAACGACGAAAATGACGTACGTCGATGACAGACAATAAAGGTGGAAGATTTGACTCTTCAAGAGAATGATATGCTTTATTCATCAAAGCACCTAGAAACAAACTCTCCTCATGGGAAACGACAGTAGACAGAGGCAACAGACAATGGAAGACAGTGAAAAAGACACTGTAGTGAACTGAAATTAGAAGAGTAGAACTCAGGTGCTCAAACACATGTGTTGAAAGAGAAAATTCTTAGGACAGATCAAAACTGTGTTGTGAGCTTGAATTTAACTTACATTCTCCTTTCATAAGAGCAAGAATAAAACTCAAAGTGTTAGACAAGGACCAACACAAGCAATGGAGCATGTGGTTGAGTTCGATAAAAAGCGATAAACCTTACTACGGCTTTACGGCTTAACATACTTCAAATAATCTTGAAAGAGAGGAGTACTTTTTAGAACATGACACATGTGGTGCTTTGGAATGAGGCTCGTCAAAAAGTTTGTTTTCAATCAATTTCCAAGAATAACTTTAGAATGACAACATAGCACTTGTAGTTATTTTCTTCAGTAAATGATGTGTGATATCATGATGCCAATTGTAGTTGGTGATATGAAATTGAAGGCTGCATTGAGGTTGACAACACATTGAAAGGAAATATAAACACTCGGTCAATTTTATTGAAGAACAGTATGGCCAATACCTGTTGTACTATATCTAAGCTTTGACCTGTTGTGAATTTAATTTATATTAGTTATTCCAGTTATGTTATCACAAGTAGTATTCTGTCTCATTCATCATACTTTTTTTCTGGAAGCATATACTATAATATATTCACTTCACTGATTGTTTTTATATCAACATTTGTTGCGTTGTCTTAAACAACTTCTGGCTTAGAACGACTTTTTGTCTTTGAACAACATTTGTCGATAAATAGGACAATTTCTTTTTTTGTAAGGAGATATGCTCAGCCAGGTACAAATTGTAAGTGTCTACACTATGTAATGATTCGAGGCATAATAAATCCATTATTTAACAAACATGCATTGCATTGAAATATGTTTGTAATGTACCTCACATTGCAAGTACTGTTGTGTCCTACACTAGAATTGTGTGATATATTTGTTTAGAAACTACGAGGTATCATCTGTCATGTCGTATCATGCCACTCCTAAAGATATAAGCTTGCAAAATACAATTCTTTTCAGATGAGGAGGACAGAATCATAGTTGCTGCTCATGCAATCCATGGCAACAAATGGGCAGCCATTGCCAGGCTTCTACCCGGAAGAACGGATAATGCCATTAAAAACCACTGGAATTCCACTCTGAGGCGTCGGGGAGTTGAACTTGATAAGATTAAATTAGAATCTGGTAACTTCATGGAAGATGCCAGCTTGGAGAAAGCAAAAGCATCCTCGGAAGACACTCTATCATGTGGGGATGTTTCTTTGAAATCCTCAGAAGGGAGAGATGTCAGTTCTGTAGATATCATGGATGATAAATCTGATGGTAAAGCACAAGCTGAGGGCCAATTACACCACAAAGTCAAGGATCCACCTACCCTTTTTCGGCCAGTAGCTCGTGTAAGTGCTTTCAACGTTTATCACTCAAATGATGTTATACAGCCTTCAACATCAATTCAAAGGCCAGTGCCGAAGCAAGGTCCCATTTTACAATCGTCAAGACCAGATATGGAATTTTGTAGAATGGTTGAAGGAATTTGTGGTGATCAGGCAGTACCTCACCAGTGTGGCCATGGTTGCTGTGCTTCTCCAAATGGTAGAAAGTCCGAAAGCTCTTTGTTGGGACCGGAGTTCATCGAATTTTCTGAACCCCCATCTTTCCCAAATTTTGAGTTGGCTGCAATTGCTGCAGACATCAGTAACCTTGCTTGGCTTAAAAGTGGATTGGAGAATAGTAGTGTGAAAATGATGGGAAACACGTCTGGCAGTGCAATGTCAAATGGATCTCGAATACATATTGGCCATTAGATTGCCTAATAAATCATCATTGGTCCTCAGTGAGTACTGGATAATGGGCATGATGCGGGCTAAGTGATGATTGTCTGTTTTCCTTGCAAATGTAACAAGGCAACCAAAGTTAAGTGAATCGATTCTGTGATGTAAATGGATTCACTAGGTAAAAGTAGAATGTGGGATTCATGATTTCAAGGAACAATTTTATATTTTGGGATTGACTGATTAGGTACTACATGATTTTGAAACTAACAAAAATTACTTGCATTTCTATCTATTTTGAGTTCCTGCTCTTGTGCGTACTTTGTAACTGTGAGTGAAACAATGCCGAATGTTTCATGATTATTTTCTGCTGCATGTCGCCAAGGTTTTAAACTTTCTAGATGTTTTTATCCTCTTCCTTGGGAAAACTTTTAGCATGTCCAATTAAGAGATGTTTAAGGGTTGCTTGCGGCAATTTAGCAATTTAGCCTATAAATGAAGTCTAAATTTTATAAAATGAAATGTAAATTATGAATAGTTTGGAAGTCCTTAAAGTGTAAGTTGATGAATAATAACGTGAATAAGTAAAAATAACAATATATATTATCTTTGTTTAATTATGTAATATTCAATGGTAAAATTGTGCCCTATTTTCTCACATAATATCATCCTTTTGTACATGACAATATCTAGGTCATACATCCAATCATAAATGTGTTCAAAGGTATACTCGTTAATCTCTTGCATATGACAATATCTAGGTCATACAACTAATCATAAAACACTTCACTAAAGTAACTAATAACTCTTTACTTATACAAAACTAAATAATTAATCAAAGTTATAACATTAGGGAGCTGTTACCTCTTGTACCACATACGCATTTACATTCATGTAACACACATGTAAGCATAAAATAGTTGTAAAAAAATAATTTATATTTAAAAAAAAATTAAAATAAAATAAAGTTAAATAAATATAAAAAATTTATGTGAATTAAAGTATCATTTCTATTTTTAAAATGTCTCTTTTACCCTTATGAATTTATAATATATTATTACTTTATTTTTCCTTCTTCCTTCTCTTCCTCTATCTCCTTAACCTTTCTTCGTCCTGAGTCTTTGATGATCATTAAAGCTTTATAAGCTTTGCAACAAGGTTCTTCACTTATTTAATAGAGGTATGAATTTTAGTTTGGTTTTGCTTGTTGTCGTCAGTGGGGTGAGTTCAGGAAAATTTATTTATGATTCTTTTAACTTTTCGAATTTATGGATCCGAAATATATTACTGAATCCGAAAAAGATATTTCGAAGTGATAAATATGGAAAATGTTTGTGTCTCTGTTGTGTTTTGAGACTACAAAGAGACCAGGTCACGGTTTGAAATTCAAGCGTGAGTTTAAGTCCCACGTTGGATAGAAATGAGAAAGTAAAACACTATATAAAAATGAAAGACCCTTTAGCCGATTGTCTTAAGGTTTTGGGTAAAGAGTGATGTCAATCTCTTATATGGTTGGACTCAGATCTCATTGGTATTTGTGTTTTCCAGTGAACCTCCTCCTTGATAAGTAATATCAGAACACCCTCACCATTTCTAGTGTGTCTTTTCCTTCCATTCTTCTTTCCCAATGCTGCAACTTTCTCTCCTTAACTTGCTCGTTCTTATTCCATCTTTTCTACTCTCTTCTCCACCACCTACATGCCCATCTCCTATTTACCATCAAAGTCATGCAACATCAGATTAAAACACAACCACAACCATTGAATCATCATATGCAACATTGTTTTTCGAACTGTTTAAGAGTTAAACTTACGTGAACGTGACCGATTTATGTGTCTTGCTGAGATGATAACTGGAACACAGAGTAACAAAAGAATGAAAAATGCAGCAGCGTAGAGAGAAGTCCTCCTCATTGTTGTTGTGTGGGAATTTCTGAGAAGTTATGATGAGTTTTGAGGTGCATTTGTAAAATATAATTAAAATATAAAAGAGGGTGTATGTAGAAATTGAAGCGGTTCACAGGATTGTGCAAGAAGAGGTCACATGAAAGAGGGTGCAATGCAAATGCAAGAAGGTGTTGCAGGGTGGCAGAAATGCAGCCTCAACTTTGCTCTTCTATTTTCTTCCTATTACTGCATTTTACCATTTAATATTGATGTTCATGTGCATTTCGGCTAATAAATTTAGTACCCTAAGCTCTTATGTGACTACCATCGATGCCTCTCTTCGCTACCATTGATGGATTTAGATTTAGAGCCAAAAAACAAAATGGTTGACATTTTGGAACATATATACTAGCCGTATTTTATATCAATTTTTATAAAATTTATTTATTTTTAGTCACATATATAACTTTATTTCGGTCTCTCTCTTTGTCTCTATATCATAATATGTTTTGGCAACCATTCATGGATTCTGTTTTCAATATTACTATGTTTTC